AAAAACTCATGCACCTGAACAAAGGAAACTTTTTAGAACCAAGTTGTCTCAGAGCCTTCCTTCTTACAGCGGTGGCTTGAAGAGGAACAGGGACGACAGTAGCATGGCTACACTGCGAACACATCCAGTCACCCACAAATGCCAGGATCTTGCCCCAGCACATTGTGGGTGGTTTCCCCAGATGCACAAAAAAGAGAACAGAAAAGGAAAGCTACATTTTGCGGCCATTCTAGGCAATTCTCTGTGACCCCTTTGTGAGACAGGAACTCTGTCTCTTCTGGCTTGTGTTGGCCCAACCCAACTTGAGAAGCACACGGCAACAGTCATGTAGACGAAACAGAACTAAAAAAATTATGAATTAATAAAGAGAAGAGTACAGAGTAACAAGGTGTTGGACCCTCGAATACCCACGCACTCTCCCAACATTACAATGGGTGACATAGCATTTTATACTCATTATGACATAAGCAACTAAAGGCATAATTATTGGTTCCATCAAACTTCGTCACCTATTTCTAATTTGACTATGACCTGTGGGTTGAGTCTTCCCAGGCAAAGTTTTTTTCTTATTTTAGCTAAACAATAGACTCGCCACTAGCACAACACTAAGAGCTAGAACTGGCCACTGCCAGACAATCTTAGGATCTCCTGGCTATTCTACAAACAATGCCATACGATAATTAATTAATTTGCCCTTGTATATTTTTTACACACACACACACACCCTCAAAATGAATTGCACCAGTGCCTCTTGGGGGGCCTCTGTTTCTGACCCTTGGTGCATTTCGTCTTCTCTGCATTCCGTAAAATCCCACAGGTGGGACAACAGCATCATCCAGGGTGGGTGGGTAGGGGGGTTGGCTTGCCACCAGATATCTCAGGCCTCCAGTGTGTTAACCAAACACTTGGCGCATGGAGTGCCAGCCACGGTCTCTCGAGGAGCCACTCAACCAGTGTTCCCTCTAAGCTGAGTTAGTGTGAGCTAGCTCACCGCTTTTTAGCCTCCAGCTCACACATTTTTGCCTTAGCTCAGGAAGGAGGGCTCCAGAGCAAACTCATTTAGGCAGTAGCCAAATCGCTTGCTCACAGCTATAAGGCCGGTAGCTCACAAAGTAGAATTTTTGCTCACAAGACTCCACAGCTTAGAGGGGGGCATTGCACTCAACTGTCTCCACTCCCGGAGTGAAGAAACCAGAGTGGCTCCCAGGAACAAAAGGCAGGGAAAAGGCCAGATTAGCACGGCGGAATCCACCCTCCACCCTGAGCCTAGCAGAGAACCCGAAACCTCCTCCAGAGGTGGTCCAAACCGACTCCCACTTTGAAAAGAGGCTTAATGAGATTGTATAAAAGCACATTCCTCCCCAGGAACACAGAGTCCTTTCTGGGTGGTTAAAAACACCTCGGTCACGTGGCGCCAAGAGAAAGAGGAGAGAGAGAGTGTGTGTGTGTGAATGGGGAAAGGAGGGAGGAGGGAGCCCGAGGGCTGTTTGGGCCAAATCGCTTGAGGGTTGTAGCCGGCCACTGACGACTCTGGGACCTCTGGGGGAAAACCAGACGGCCTCACAGCCAGGGAAGGGAAGTCTGGGAAGGATAGTCCACATCAGGTGCGGCCAAACCTGCTCAGCGTTAAGAGCCTAGTCTTGCCAAGTCCCCCCGGGGGGTGGGGAAAACCCCGCCCCAGAGGCCCATTCCTTGCCACTGGGGGATCTGGCCCTGGGGGGAACCCCACCCCGACGTGCACATCACCCGGAAGTGACGCGAACGCGACCACGCCGGGCACGCTGGGGGTGGGGCCACGGTCATGCGAGGGAAAACTCTATGGTTTTCCCTCGGATGGTCATGGCCCCACCCCCAGCGTGCCCGGCGTCATCACGTCACTTCCGGGTGACATGTGTGCGGCGCGCGCGCAAAGCGCCATCCGGGAGTCCCCCGCTCCGGCTCAAAAAGCACTTGGCGATCCTGTAAGAGCCACATAGAATAAACGTCAGATGTCAGCGCCGCAAAACATGAACAAATATCACGCGCACATTTTTATTTAGAAATGTGCAAATTTACTTTTTAAGTAACATTAAATGAGACCGCCAAAACTAAAAAAACAAAAGGGGTAAAAACAGATATTGGTCATGATATTTATTTGTTTGCTAATGATAATTATTTGTCTGAGAGAGGGAGAGAAAGAGAGAGGTGGAAAGAAAGAGAGAGAGAGAGAAACAAAGAAAGCAAATAGACGGGAGGGAGGGAGGGAGGGAGAACCAGCAGGCCTCCCCTTCGCTTCCCCAACCGCCCTGCCGGGAGCCACACAATATGTGTGAAAGAGTCACATGTGGCTCCGAGCCGCAGTTTGGCCACCCCTGGTCCAGATCAATGCTCCCTCCAGGGATCATTTCGTAGAAAAAGAGGTGCAGGAGCTCATTAGCATAATTCATTGGCATAACTGATTTGCATATGCCACACCCCCTGACATCACCGGAAGTGTGTCAGAAGGCAACGCCCACCGCTCAGGCTCCACTGGACTGTTTTGGATTGCTAGCTATTGGGGGGGGAGACGCGCAGATCTGCCCTCACAGAGGAGGGAGAGCTTGTACCTGAATAAAACTTGGTCTTAAAGGTGCCACTGGACTGGTTTGGACCGGGAGGCCGGGGGGGGGGCTCTGCAACTTACCTGGCTGCTTCTTGCTCTGACTGAGGGCTGCTGGGAGCAGGGGGTGGGGCATATGCAAATAAGTTATGCTCATGAGATCCTGCACCTCTTTTTCTACGAAATGACCCCTGGTGACCCCTGAGACCTAGCAGGGTTTTGCAGCTCTAAGGCACATGTGGAAGCCACACGCCTCTGGGCTGCTCCAGCTAATGGGTGTTGTGTGTGTTATGTGGTGACCAATGTTCCCTCTAAGCTGTGGAGTCTTGTGAGCAAAAATTCTACTTTATGACCTACTGGCATTAAAGTTGTGAGTGAGCAAATTTGGCTACTGCATAAATTAGTTTGCTCTGGAGCCATCCTTCTTGAGCTAAGACAAAAATGTGTGAGCCGGAGGCTAAAAAACTGTGAGCTAGCTCACACTAACTCAGCTTAGAGGGAACACTGGTAGTGACCCTATGAATGAATGTCCCCCAAAACTTCCAGTCACAAACAGCGTTGCTCAAGTCTTGCAAACCAAGGGACTTTGTGGCTTCTTTTCTGGAGTCCATCCCTCTCATGTTGGGTCTTCCTCTGTTCCTGCTGCCTCCCGCTTTTCCTAAGACGGTTGTCTTTTCCAGCGAGTCTTGCTCACAATGTCCACATCACGTAAGTCCTCAAGCAACTCTTTGCTTCCTGTCCTGTGTCTGGCTTGCCCAAAGGAGGCAGGCGACGATAATATTGCATGGAGTTTACGGGGTGCACAGGGAAGAAAGGGCCCCTAGAGCATTATGGGTAGGGCCCTGAATTTGGACAGGTGCTTCCTGGGCTGACGGACACCCTCTCTCCACACCCTCCCCCACAGATGCGCATGACGGCGCCATGGAAACGCCAGGCCAAGAGTCTGCTGTCTCTCTGGGAACTATTTTTTGCCCAACGTTTTAAGAGTACCTTGATATGCAGATAACAGCTGCACAATACCCTGGGCGGAGAAGGAAGAAGGCCCAGAGCACTGGAAGGGAAGCTCACCTTTCAGGAGGATCCAAATTCCTTGACTCAGAAGCCGTCCTCTCCTCCCTTCCTAGCGCAGGCTTTGGTGCTTTTATTGCTCTCTGAGAAGCACAGGAGGATTCAGCCCTGGCAACAGCGGCCTCAAGGATTTCTGGCCAACACAAGAGAAAAGAGCAAGAGCCCCAGAGCACCTTAAAGACGAACACTGTGTGAATCACGAAACCTCGTCCCCTGCCACGGATTTTGTTAGCCTTTAAGGAGCCAGTTTGGTGCAGTGGTTAAGTGCTTGGGCTCTAATCTGGGAGAACCGGGTTTGATTCTCCACTCCTCCTCCACTCGCAGCTGCTGGATGACCTTGGGAAAGCCATAGTTCTGTCAGAGCTGTTCTCTCAAGGGCAGTTCTTGAGAGAGCTCTCTCAGCCGCACCTACCTCTCAGGTTGTCTGTTGTGAGGACTCTTCTTGCTCTTTGCTGTTGCTACAGACAGACTCACAGGGTGACCCATCTTGATCTATGCCCGACTCAGGGCCACTGAAGTCACAGGAAAGCAGGGCTATTTTGGGGCAGGAACGCACAGGAACGGAGTTCCAGCTGGCTCCTAAATTGGCCATGCCCAGCAGGAACTCATTAGCATAATAGGCCACACCCAACAGCAGAAACTCATTAGGGGTGTGTGGTAGGGCTGCAAAATCCCCCCGGGGGGCGGATTTCCCCCCGCTTTGGAGGCCCGATTTCCGCCCCCCTGCGGAATCGGGCCCCGGGGGAAACCCCACCCCCGCTTGCACGTCACAGGGAAGTGACGTCATGACGCCGGGGGCGGGGCCACAGCCATTTGAGGGGAAAACTCTATGTTTTCCCCTCAAATGGCTGTGGCCCCGCCCCCAGCGTGCCCAGCTTCATGACGTCACTTCCCTGTGACGTGCATGCGGCGCGCGCACGCTCCGGGAGCCACCCCAGACTCCTCCACCGGCGAGGTAAGTCCGATTTGGCAACCCTAGTGTGTGGCCTAACATGCAAAGGAGTTCCTGCAACAAAAAAAGCCCTTTGACAACAAACAAGGTAAACAGAATAAGAAGGGAAAGGTGGGTGTGGCTGGATGACCACACTTCTGGTAACATGGCCTAATATGCCAATGAGTTGTGCTGTCAGGGGTGTGGCCCAATATGCTAATGCGTTTCTGCTGTTGGGTGTGGCCTATTATGCTAATGAGTTCCTGCTGGGTGTTTTCTACAAAAAAAGCCCTGCAGGAAAGGGTGACACCAAAGAGCTACAAGCCGGATTCAGGTGACTACACCAGTGTGTTCCCAGAGACAACAACCCGTCTCCCTCTCTTTAGCGTCGTGCTCAGATAATGAGTCCAGTTTGAAGGCCCAAAACAATCGACAAGCTTTATTGCATAATTCACAGCAAAACCCCATCTGTTACAATGACCAGAGCCTTGCTGGAATGAATGCCTGAAGACTCTGATGATTAATGGGCAAACAGCAAACGCAGGCAGATACGCATGATGCTTATTACACAGTCGGAGCAAAGATGATTTCAAGGGAACCTCAAGGTTCAGAACATAGTCCGGTTTCTTGCAAGCAGATAGGATGCAAAGAAAAAGGAATATCCCTTTGTTACAGCTGCAACAGGGTGGGACACCGGGGAATGGCTAAGGAGGGGGTGACCCCTGTGCCTTGCCTACATTTCCCCCCTCCAACACACCTGCTCCACGTGTGGGAACAAGTGTTAACCTGAGAGAGTTGTGTGAAGTGCAGTTGCCATATTTTTTAAAAGCCAATTTGTGACACCTTTCTCTCCCCCCCGCCATGTGCTCCAAAAGTCTTTCTTGCACGGCTAAAGAGAGCGCCGTAGGGGAGAGAAAATGCTCTGGGCTGGGCTTCTGTTCAGCGTGGTACCATGCACATCTGGTACATGGGGACGATGTTGGCAAAGCCGCTCTCCAGGGGAGTCGTGTCGATTTCTTCTGGGGGCACGAGGGGCTTCAGCCGGAAGCTCTGGAGGACGGTGGTGAAGAAGAGGAAAAGCTCCATGCGGGCCAGGGCCTCCCCCAGGCAGATCCGCTTCCCTGCAACGAGAGAGGAGGAGAACCGAGCGGGGCGATCAGCAGAGAAGCCGGCGTGATTGATTGCTGTAATTTCAGGGTCACATCCTCCCAACAGCTGGCCCAGACCTGCGGTCTAGCCACAGCATTCTGCACTAGCTGCCGAACACTCTTCAAGGGTAGCCCCAAGTACAGTGCATCGCAGCAGTCCAGTCCAGATGTAACCAAGGGGCATGGATCACCGTGGCTAGATCTGACTGTCCCAGGAACAGACACAGCCGAGACACCAGCCAAAGCTGGGCAAAAGCGCTCCGAGCCACTGCAGCCCCCTGGTTTTCTAACATGGACGGCACCCTCAGAATTAGGTGGGTCAGAAAGGCAGAGCTGTGCATGGCTGACATCACAGCCCAGACCTCCTGATGCCCCTCCTCGCAGCTTCCCGTGCTCCCTCTAAGCTGAGTTAGTGTGAGCCAGTTCACAGTTTTTTAGCCTCCGGCTCACGCCTTTTTGCCTTGGCTCAGGAAGGAGAGCTCCAGAGCAAACTAATCTATGCAGTCGCCCAATCGCTCGCTCACACCTTTAACGCCAGGAGCTCACACAGTAGAATTTTTGCTCACAAGACTCCACTCTCATATAGGTATTAAATAGCATGGGGGATAAGGTGGAACCCTGCAGGATCCCGCAGGTCAACAGAGCAGGAATCCTCCGCAGGGGTCATTTGGTAGAAAAAGAGGTGCATGAGCTCATTAGCATAACTCATTAGCGTAACTTATTTGCATGTGCCACACCCTTTGACATCCCTGGATGTGTGTCAGAAGGCAACACCCACTGCTCAGGCTCCACTGGACTCTTTTGGATTGCTAGCTATTGGGGGGGGGGGACGTGCAGATCTGTCCTCGCACAGGAGGGAGAGTTTGTACCTGAATAAAACTTGGTCTTAAAGGTGCCACTGGACTGTTTCGGGCCGGGGGGAGCTCTGCAACTTACCTGGCTGCTTCTTGCTCTGACTGAGGGCTGCTGGGAGCAGGGGGTGGGGCTTGTTGCATGTGCCCGCCCCCTGGGCTCTTTACTGCCGGAGCGCCGCTCCTGTGCGCTCCTGCAGGAAATGACCCCTGATCCTCCGGCACAATCTTTTGGGACCAGCCCCCAGATAGGACTCGAACCTATGCTTGGGCAGATGTCCCGTGGTGTCCCGCTTCGCCCCCTGCTCCTTCAGTGCCAGCACATAGGGATACCAGCCTCCAGGCGGAACCAGGGGAACAAGACCTGGAGGTTGGCAACTCCAGGAAGGCCCCAAAGACCAACCTCCCCTGTGCCATCCTTTGGCCTCAGGCCTGTCTCAAGTGCAGACGTCCTTTTAGCACCTCAGGGCCCGGCCGAACCTTTCAGCCTCGGAGCAGTATTGTGAGTTGGCGTTACACGTGACCAGGTGTTTCTCTTTGGGCAACTTAGTCCCGGAAAATGGGCATATAAATATTAATAACTGAAAGCCCCAGTGTAAAAAAAGGGTCAGAGAAGAATGCTAGTCCTGGCTAAGGTCTCTCCTGTGTGAGACCTCCGGGGGGTTCATGACCAGTGTTCCGTCTAAACTGAGTTCGTGTGAGCTAGCTCACCGTTTTTTAGCCTCCGGCTCACACATTTTTGTCTCAGCTCAGGAAGGAGGGCTCCAGAGCAAACTAACTCATGCAGTAGCCAAATCTCTCACTCACAACTTTAAGGCCAGTAGCTCACAAAGTAGAAGTTTTGCTCACAAGACTCCACAGCTTAGAGGGAGCATTTGTTACACACAGACACACAGACACATGCATGCATGCACCCGCCCCGGGCGATCTTCCTCATTTGCAAGAGGAGCCTTCAGTTTACCTGAGGAGAAAGGCACAAACGCATCGTTCTTCTTGAAGCTTCCGTTCGCATCCAGGAAATTTTCTGGGTTGAACTGTCTTGGATTTTTAAATTTCTTGGGGTCATTCAAGACGGTGCTGAGTACTGGATAGACTTCCGTCCCCTGGGAAAGAGAGAGGTTTGGAAGCCGGACTTTCAAGGTTTCAGGGAGGATAAACCTTCGGTATCAGAGCAAGGAAGACGGAGGGGTGAACCTCACACCCCTCATTCCTCGGGGGGGGGGCAGTCAGTTTCTCCCCCATCCCTGTTTCTGATGGGGTTTTTTTGCCATCAAGTCTCAGCTGACTTACGGCAACCCCAAAAGCTCTTCAAGGCTAGAGACAAACAGGGGTGGTTTGCCTTTGCCTGCCTCTGCGTAGCAACCCTGGACTTCCTTGTTGGTCTCCCATCCAAGTACTAACCAGGGCCGACCCCGCTTAGCTTCTGAGATCTGATGAGATCAGGCTAGCCTGCGGTATCCGGGTCAGAGCCCCTCCCTCCTACAGCCATGGAGGCCGCTACAGAAGTCACTGACCCCACCCCCAGGACTCCTAGTCACGCGCCTCTGCCAGATGGTCATTGGATAGCTGGGAATGTCACATGACTGCCTCAGCTGGCCTGCGGAAACATCCTGAGGGCCATCTTTGGATGTGGTCAGGGGTTGGGTCTGAAGCAGGGAGAGGGGGAGGATGGGAAACCTGTCCCAGAAGGGGGAAGGAAGTATGACGTGAAGGACCCATATCTGTTGGCTGCTGCTGTGTCCGTGGACCGCCACTCGGGCTCGGTGTCCTCAGTCCCCAGCTTGGTCCCAAACACAATAGGGGCCAAGGATCCTAGGTCACCTTTAGTCCTCCAATAGAACCTTTGGCGGGACATTTAAACCCTCCAATAGGACTGTGGGTGTGTCTGGGGTGGGTGTATATAGTGGGCCCTTGCCGGGCAATTTTTTGTCTTTGCGTGTGTACAACAATAAACGTGACTTGTTCAGCATGTCGTAGTCTGCCTCTCCATGCATAGAACCCAGTGCTTTTCAGCTGCACAGGTCGAAGTCAAGATCCTGAAAATAACTCTTTCAAGACACACAGACACCTCACTCTTCCACGCCTCCCAGGCTTACCTTCGGGATGAGGTATCCTCTGAATTCGGTGTCCCGGATGACCATGTGCGGCACATCCATTGGAATGAGGTCACTCACTCGCTGCACTTCGTGGATGACGGCATCGGTGTACGGCATCTGGTTCCGGTCTTCGATGTTTGGGGCCCGGTTCTGGCCAATCACCCGGTCTATTTCCTCGTGCATCTTTTCTGTTAAACCATAACAGTTCACATTGCCTTCGCTTCCTCGCCTCCCGCCTCCAGTGGTCCCAGGGCAGAGGACGAAACCCTGCCCTGAAACCGGATGACATTTCAAAAGTATTTGAAACTGTGAGGTTGATTTAAGAATTCTGTTTTGAGTAGCCTCCCCCCTTGCAAACCAAGGCAGTCATCTTAACTTGCCAAATTATCACCTGCTTTCTAAAACCAAACTTGGAAAAACTGCAAGGCTCTTGACTTCAGTGAATTACGCACTCAGCTCCAGAGGTGGCCAGTGTGGTGGTCAGAGCACCAGTCTAGAACTGGGGACAGCCAAGTTCGAATCCTCTTTCAGACATGAAGTTCCTTGAGCAAGTTATTCTCTCTCTTAGCCTCATGTACCCTACAGGGTTGTTGTGAGGGGAAATTGGGGGGGGGAGAACCGCGTAAGATGCCTGAGATCCTGGGAGGGAGGGCAGGAGGTGGAAACAAATTCTGCCTGGAAAGGCACACGGTCGACAGAAATGTGGTAGATTCCCCCTCTCCACAAAATACTTGCAATGAATCTCTCTCCCATGCACGCACATCCTGATTCATGCACAGTTTATAATGCCCCACGTAGCTGACGGGCACCTCCAGGCACAGAGGCAGTCTATCTCTGAATACCAGGGGCTGGCTTTTGCCTTTCTGCCCTGCTTGCAGGTTTCCCACAGGAGAATGATGAAAACAACCATGATGTAGTATTATGAAAATATATTTAGACTGCTGTTTTGCAGTGAGTAGTGTTTCTTCAACAGGTAATAAAGATGTACGCATTCACACAACAGAATTAGCATAAACTACCGTTTCACGTGACAGCTTTTTCTCAGTGTGCTGCGTAAGTCGCATTCATTTACACGTCAACAATTCTAATCTGCGAATTAACACTCAACATTCTTCCCGGAAAGAATCTGTTTCATTGGAGTGGGGAGAATGTTGAGTGTTAATTCGCGGATTAGAGTTGTTGACGTGTAAATGAATGTGACTTACGCAGCACACTGAGAAAAAGCTGCCGCGTGAAACGGGAGTCTATGCTGATTCCGTTGCGTGCATGCGTACATCTTTACTACTTGTTGAAAGAAACACCACTCACCGCAAAACAGCAGTCCGGATATATTTTCATAATACGACACCACGGTTGTTTTCGTCATTGTTTGCATCCTTCCCGTGATCTCTCTGTCATGTCTATATTCTTGTGGAGAAGGCTTCTCCAGTGCTTTTCTTTTCCCCCCCATTTCTAAACTGAGAAGTGGCAACCCCTTGCGGCATGACACAGATGGACACAGAGCTCAGCCCCTTCTCTACCTTCCGTAGGAGGTATCTGACAATGGGACCTTTGATTCCGGAAAGCTCATACTCTGAACGTCTTCTTGGTCTCTGAGGTGCTGCTGGACTCCAACCTAGCCCTGCTGGCTGCAGGGAGACTCTGAGAGGAGATACCACCGGGCCTCCCCACCATCCATACCTTGAACCTCGGGGCATTTCATCAAGAGCAGGAAGCCGTATCTCAGGGTGGAGCTGACCGTCTCCGTCCCGGCAAAGAACAGGTTGAGGGTGGTGAGCTCCAGATTCTTGACGTTGAATTCGCTGTCGGGGTTGTTTTTTTCCTGAAGGCAAACGGAGGTTGGAACAAAAGATGGTTAGGGCATTTGCTGGCTAGCGCTTTTCTTTTTTTTTTGCCAGGTCATGGTGGGGGCAGGAGAGGGAGTCGTGTTTTGAGGGTAAACAGGAGGCAAGGTAACAGGACCGAGGAGCCGGATTCCCTTTCAGGGATTGTGTGTGCGAGTGACTGTGTGTTGAAGGCCATCGGTTCTCAGCCAACCTCTGGAGACCCCAGCGAGGGGCTTTTGAGGCAAGCGAGGAGCAGAGGTGGTTGGCCAGTCCCTTCCCTTGCGCCATCCTCCTTGGTGGCCTCCCCTCCAAGCGCTGACCCTGCTTCGCTTCCAAGATATGACAAGATCTGTCTGTACCACGTCACCTTCCCCCCCTCCAGTTAATTACAGGGGTCCAAAATAGGTAAAATCAGTGAGTTGGCAGGCCAAGAGGCAGGCGCTGCACCTCCTAGGGTGCCAGGGCGAACCCACACGGCCTCAGAACACCAGGGAGGAGCTCCATCTCTTCCAGGAGGCTGCTCGGCGCATGGACAGACCGGATGGTTCCTCCCCTTTTCTCCTTCTTCAGGGAGAGGGGGACACGGGGGAGCAAGCGTAAGACACATCAGCTCACCTTGGGAGCCTCTGATCCCTCCAGATGTGCCAAGCCCAGTGCTGTCTGTGGGCCTGGCTCCTTTGTGCTAACTTGGTGGTCCATGCAGGGGCCAGGGCTTGGCCATGAGATAAAGTGAGGCCGTTGGGCCAACTTATCTTGGCAGGGGGCATCGGAAGGATTCTGAGATTCACAGAACTCAGACAGAATGGAAGGAAAGGGGGGGGGCTGTGGCTCAGCAGCAGAGCCTCTTGCTTGCCATGCGGAAGGTCCCAGGTTCGATCCCCGGCATCTCCACTTAAAATGGACCAGGCAGGAGGTGGTGGGAAAGACCTCTGCCTGAGACCCTGGAGAGCTGTAGAGAGGGGCCGTGGCTCAGTGGCAGAGCCTCTTGCTTGCCATGCGGAAGGTCCCAGGTTCGATCCCCGGCATCTCCACTTAAAATGGACCAGGCAGGAGGTGGTGGGAAAGACCTCTGCCTGAGACCCTGGAGAGCTGTAGAGAGGGGCCGTGGCTCAGTGGAAGAGCCTCTGCTTGGCAGGCAGAAGGTCCCAGGTTCAGTCCCCGGCAACATCTCCAGTTAAAAAGGGCCAGACAGGAGGTGATGGGAAAGACCTCCACCTGAGACCCTGGAGATCTGTAAAGAGGGGCCGTGGCTCAGTGGTAGAGCCTCTGCTTGGCA